CCTAAATATTTTAAGTCTTGCAGACGTTTGCGACTGACCATAACTTCCTCCGACTTCGGAACATTATCCCACTTTAGGCGTGTGGTTGAGAATATTCTAGATCGCTGCTGAATTATAGTCAGTTTATTGTCTTGCTAAACGGCATACCTTAGTCTTCATTTTATTTTGGTTTTAGATTAAAAGAACTACATAAGTCAAGGCTTTTGACTGATTCATCTTTTAAGACGAGGTAAAACGGGCAATAAAAGTACGAATGCAAACTATATTTCTTTTGATGGAATAAAACAAAAGTACAGTCTGTCATGAAACAGTTTCAAAAATTTTTAAAAAATTACTGTAAATTTCAGTAATTCGGTACATTTTCAAATTTCAGCATAGCAATTAATAGAAATCTGCAAACACCGATCACAGATCGGCTTAACCGCAGTAATTTCAAATGTAAGAATTACTATTTCATGAATCTTCATCTGAACCAAAACCTGAAACCGTATCTGAAATCAGCATCGTAACGGTAAAGCATACAGAATGCTCAGAAACATGTTCCATTTCCTGACTTAATCGTAGACAGTCCGCTTCAATGGTACCGAGATCGCTACCGACAAAGTGAAGACTCGTATCGGAACACAACGCTGAACAGTTCTCCTCCAAGTCGATTTGCCAACCATTTGTTCTTAATCACCGCTGTCTTCAGAACTGGACACTTAAATTCAGCGTTAAAATTGGTGTGAATCGCTCGGCCCATTCCTTCGAGTATGATCAGATCAACGCCCTGCTCGACCATCGTTCTAGCTAACAGGTCATCGATATGCCTGAAATTTAAAATCGAATGCAAAAACGGGAACATGGTAGTAAAACCATGTTTCATTTGAATATGTTCACAGTTAGGTATATCTTCTGGGTCGCTGGGGAAGCGGCAACAAAAGATTTTTCCAAAATTCCCAGTTATCCACTATTAATACAAGGTCGGCGTGGTACAGACTCCAATAGCGACAATGGTGCAATTGAAAAATCTAAACCCCCATCTAGCCGACAGTTGTTCCGACATGTCAATGTCTCGAACAACGTTGGATTTAATACATAATAAGGGCTAAATGGCAGGATCATATAAGGAGGTGATCTTGATATGTGTGATCAAGAAAAGGAAGTTGATCCTGTGACACAACTACATGGGCATCAACAGTTTATTTTAGAGCGCATGAACTACTCTATGACAGCCGAAACATACACTTAACCAGAAGGCCAGCACGCAATATGGAGGAACAGTGTAGAAGCAGATCTGGTTTTGGAGAGGAAGATTTATTTTTACCATGCAGCAACTGATGCCTGATAGTAAAACTGTTTTAAAGCTTCGAAAACAACAGATACCAGACCGAAGACATTCTGCTTACACAAATGCCACGTAATGATTTCAGCCAGCAAACAATTCCATATCTGTATATCATCTGGTGCAGAAACAGTTTCTATTTTACCATCGCAATTAAATTTTGTGCATTGCATCAAATGCCTGCCGAAATTATTAACTAAACTGTGCAGTACAAAGCCAATGGCTTTGCGGCTTTTGCACTGAAAGAACGAGACGCGATTACCTATAGTATGGTAATACTTGACCTCATAACAGCTTCGCATCGACATCTCTGGCAGTGCCAATCAGAAACTCCGTCAAACAGGACAGAGTGTATGCCGTGCACTGACCGAAGCTTCTAGAACGACAATTTCACCACACATGATCAGATGCCTAATCGACTATGAGAAGCACCTTGCTTTCTTATCACTGTTTAATGACGATTGCTTCCTGAACAATTCTTATGCTACGTCTGAAGAACAGAAACTTGTCTTGTTTTCTAGGAGGCAGCCAAGTAAATGAATGGTGTTCATAATCCAATAATCGTGGGTAGGAAGAAGTTCTGCAGGAAGTCAGAAATTAAGCGGAGTTATCCTGAGGAGCAGCATGCAGTGGAAAAAGCACATTGCAAGCATAATTCAGAATGCGCGGAATGCTGCTTTGTTTCTCCAGCGGTTGACAGGTTCAGCCACTACAAAGGATTCTAGTGTCTTTCACGAAGAAATGTGTACGGTCACCAATACAACATGCAGCGGCAATTTAGCCCTAACCTGACCCTGAGAAGTAGTCCATGTTTTCGAGATCTATTAAAATAGCGGCATTGATTGGTCATCTACACGCAAAAGACCAAATGGACATTACTGTTAGAAAAATGCTTCATTTTGCATAAAGATATTCGAGAATCCTATACATTTCATGCGTGATGCACTAGCAGCTTCCTGGTCTAACCTACAATGAATAAGCATCTAGAGCTGTTTTTCTAACAGAGGCTCACTGTTCGTACAGAAGCACACAAACGATCAGCCGTAAACTTTATCGTCAGAAGCTTACTATATTCCGAACGTGAGCATGTGTTTCAATTCTAATATTTAACTTTACATATCACCACGTTATCTGTTACTACTGGTTGTTTGCACATTGCCTTGTTCTTCGTGCGCTACATCCTGGGCATCTTGTCATGGTTTTACTGACCAGCGAACTAAACCAGGTTGATTCGAACTTAATGCAATACGTTGCTGTGTCATCAAAGCCTTAAGTCTGTCGACTCTCTGTATCATAAACCACTGAACCGAGCTAATTCTTAA